TCATATCTGGGATGAGTAGAGGGGTGTGTGTGTGTGCGTGTGTGTGTGTGTGTGTGTGTGTGTGTGTGTATGTGTGTTTGGTGTTGCATCTTCCCAACAAAAGCCTTCTCACACAACAGCATGAAATTCTGGTTTGTTCAAAAGAATCTAAAAATAGGAAAATCTCAGATAAGTTTGAAATTGTTCTATACAGTGGGATAAACGCCATTGTGGAAAGAAATATAACAAAAAAAAATCAGTCTAATTTTTGCTTAATAGGAGAAATTAGAGCATAGGCACCATGGCAGGACCTGGGATCTACAAGATACGATGAGGAACCATTGCTCATTCAAGCCATACATAAACTCAGTTCCATTTATCACCAGCAGACACTTCCACAGCAGCCAAACTAGGTTCTTAAGTCTCCTACTCTGGCCAGTTAGCAATGGTTATCCAGAAGCCCAGGGGAAGGGTGAAGATAAAGCAAAAGTAGACCAGGCATCTTCCTGAGAACCCTATTACTTTGACAAAGGGAGTGAGGCATAGAGTGCTAATGGAACTACAAATCCACACTCAGTGTATGTAGAGGAGCTTTTGATAGATAAGCCTGAGTTCTCCTTTCCCTCTTCCCTTTTCATGGTTACCCTTCTCCTGTTTTGCAAAGAAAGACACACACCTTTCCCACCCAGAGGCTCACCATGTACCATGCTCCTCCAGGATGCTACATGCAGGAAAAATGCTCATATGCGAGAAGCCTTTAATCAAAGCATTGACACTAGTGTCTTGTCCACCTGTTTGATGCATACTTCCAATACGGTTTTAGTTTTATGGATAGTTCTTACTTAGTAAAAGTTTACAGGCTATTTGAGTTAGGTATTGAAAATAACACAAGCAAGAACAATCTAATAAAATACACCAAGGATAATATTTAATTTCCATTTTACATACTTATTTTTGTTGTAGAGAGGTAAGAATGAAAGTTGGAGAGAGTGGGATTGGAGGAAGGACAGTTGAGTTGCTGAGTGTTTGCTTTATAGTCCTGAGGACTTCAGGTTAATCACCACAACACACATTTCGAAAGAATGAGGCATGCTGACCTGAAATTATAATCCAATGCTGGGGAGGCAGAAGCAGGCAGAACTCTACAGCTTACTGACCAGCCAACCCAGGCCTACTGATGAGCTCCAGTAGGAGACTAAGAGACACACTGTCTTAACAGTTCCCTGATCACCTCAGAGCTTGGTCGTGAGTTCTCAAAGACCACTTTGTCTTGTACATTTCAAGTGGAAAGTGCAAGAGTAAACTGTCCATCGAGAAATATGACTCAATGTTTTTAGCCACCGATAACATTCCCAGGGCCTCTTTCTGAGCCACAACAATGAGTTCAGGTCCCTTCCCCCACCAATCCTGTCGTCAACTCTTCCCCCAGCCCCACCCTTGATCATTTTCAGTTTCTATTTCTTCATTTGGCAAACTAATTTCTATATACTCCTCAGGCCATAGAAGAAATAAGCATTTGGAGAAAACATATTTACACTCAGATACATAGATCACCATCATACTGTGTCTCTGCAGTCCTCTACCCTGTAGTGGCATAAAATATTTAAAAATACATTTATATAAACACTCTCCGTACAAACACTGATAATTGAAATGGTCCCAATTCTGACCCCAGCACTGAACAGCCCACTTTTAACTTAACTTTTATTATCATGGTATGTGTATGCAAGACGGGGATGGGAGGGTCATGTGCCACGGCACATGTGTGAGTGAGGTCAGAAGACAACTTCACGGAGTGGGTTCTCTTTCCACATTCACATGAGTTCCAGGGTTTGAACTCAGGTCGCCGAGCTTATGTGGCCAGATCCTTTACTCAAGAAGCCACCTCGCTGGCCCAGAATAACTCTTCAGAAAGAGATAACACTGTTTAATATAGAGCTGAATAATCTCTCAAACAACAGCCAGTGTCTGCTTCCTGGCACAGATTGTGTGTGAGAGAGAGACAGGGTGTGTTTTTGTGTGTGTGTGTGTGTGTGTGTGTGTGTGTGTGTGTGTGTGTTTTACTTCTCACTGTACCGAATACAAAAACCATGACACACACAAAATAGCACTGATAAGAGTCAGCCTTGACCACACTGTATCCTATTCCACACGGACAAGGTCTTGTTGGCTGGATCCTACTCCACATGGGAGGGCATGGATGCAGCGCCACCTTTTACTCTTTTCTTTTTGGTACAGTAGGAGTAAACATGGAATGGCATTAGAATTCAAAGGTGCTGCTAACATGCCAGCATGGTCCCTGGGGCAGCATGGTGCATAGTGCCTGTTAGTAACTTTCAGGCTCACATTAGGTTCCTTCTGAACGCATAAATTTTTACTTCAGTATCTCAGGCAGGATGTCTAGGCTAACCTTGCTTTTCCATTCGTTGTAGTCCAAATATAATTTAAAATAGCCCCTTCTATCTGCCAACAGCTGCGAACGCCCACACCTGTACATATATACCTGCAAATCTATGGGATACATAAATATATGTACATATGTAAATATAATTTTGATATTAATTAGCTGAAAGACAGTAAAAATAATAATTAATATTAATTAACTGCATGCCATTTATCCCCCAAACCACTCATTTTCTCTCAATAATTGGATAAAATTTTTCCTCCCACAAGTACAAAGGTAAACACAAGCTTCATGCAATGTGGAGTTGCAGCCATCTCCTGCAGTTCCCAGAACCATGGAAGAGGGGCATCTAGGAGCCAAGGCTGAGGCAGAGAGAAGGAATGTGGCTCATCAGCAAACCATCACACTAGGCCTTCTGAAGAAGCCATCTCAAAGAAAGGCTATCGAATCCTCAGTCACGGTGTAACAGGAGATTCTTCAACATCTCTCCTTGAGTCCTACCTTACTACTTGGATGGATGGAATGGCAAGTGGAGAGATACAGGTACAGAAGTCAATCCAGATTTGCCTATTACGAGTTATTATTTAAAAACTGATATATTAGGCAGATATTTTCTTTCAGGGACCATGAATTTCTTTAAGGGATCACACACATACAGATACTATGTGATAATAATCTTTAAGTATATGCATAATAATGTCAGCTACAGAAATAATTTGAAGCTAAGACTCTAGTAACATCAGGCCAAAAGAAAAAATAATTGACAGTGTGTGGAAAAAAATTGTTCCCCGAGAAATAATTCATTGTATCAGCCTTGCAATCTTAGGTCTGTCTAGGCTGGAAGAGGTCAACCCTCCCACAACCCATCTCCTTGCAGAAGTCACTGTACTCACTGAAGCACTATTATTTATATGCACTATTATTTATATGTACTGGGTATTACAGATGTCCACTATGACACTTTCTAAAAACATATATACTTGGAACAGTATTTGGAGCTTAGAATTTAAGTTGTTGGCTGTTACTCGTGTAACTCCCCAAAACTCAGGCTGTGGAAGGAAAATTCCCTATGCTGTCATTAACCAGCATTCAGAAGAATAGTTATAAAAAATACAAAAGCAGAAAAATCTATGAGAAATCAGATTCTAAAAAGTTTTAAATGCCTTGGGCCAAATATTTATAGAGCTGATTAGTTTCCCTCAGGAAAATTCAGAGTTCCTTTTTTAGCTTTTCTGAAAGTGCTGAGAGCCTGCACACCTCAGCTGGAGTGCTTCCCAAGGTCAGACTTCTTCAGTTTCCAAATTCTGCTTCAGAAACCTTGAGCCATTTTTTTTAAACTTCAAAATTAGTTTATACAAATCTGTGTCACTGACAGATGTTATATCATGTAATAAAACTACTGATATTTCCCATAATTGACAAGAAAGTACTATACTATTTTTCCTTTAACCCACCAGCTATCTACAGGAAAATTCCAAACAGGGCTAGCTCTCCAATCACACTGTGGAGCTGTTCTTGCCTGCCAATCAGCAGCCAGCAGGCACATTCAAGCTAAGGGAAGGCTGTCTGAGATCTGAGCTAGGTACAACCTGACCCCTATCCTGTTGCCAAATAGATCACAAGGCAAGCAAACCCATCAGAGTCCAACTGCAAACTCTCTGAAGGGAAAGAGGAGAAGATAAAGATCAGGACAGTGGACACACTTATAACAAGCCTGGAGCACTTTCTGATACTTCCACATTTTAAGTAGAACTCCCAATTTTATTTTTTCACTTTGAAAGTCTCAACTAACTCTTGCTTTGTCTGGTAGTATTTTATTTGTACTGATGTTCCTTCTGGACTAGCTTCCCTCTTATCATTCCCACTAAGCTTTCTTCAGGAAATCCTTTAAATTTTGGTGACTCTTCAATGTTAATGATCTAACTTGCAGGCTCTACACAGAAAGATGCAATAATCTTAGAAATTTGTTTCTTTACCAACTCAAATTGGAGAACCTGGCCAGGTCAGTGGTGCCTCCCTGGCTACAGAAAAAGGCAAGGGCAAGTGGTAGTCACTTAAGGAGACTTGCCACCAATGAGAGTATCAGAAAACAGTTTAAAATCGCCAATGGAAAGTAGCAGCTGCCAATCACTTCTTTTCCATTTTGGCTCCTGTGACACTTCAAGAGTCTGGCACCTGGATCGTTTACAGTATTTGGTTTACATATTCTTGGAAGCTAACATAACTTTAAGTGCAAGGGGTTATAGAAATCCGTTTGAGGTTTGCATTCTTGCAGTTTTGCAGTCTCAGACCCACTGGAAAAAGTTAGCTGAGTTTTCATCTAAAGGCCACTTGGGTTCAGATTTTATTTCAGGTTAGCTTTCCTGCACTGCTTTCCTTCACTCTGGCCTTTCAGACAATCAGCTGTGTTAATAAGCCTTCTGTGACTTGAGCTAAGTTGTCACTAATACACACTATGACCATCCCTGCACATTTCTTTCCCTAGAAGAGGCATCTTCAACAAGGAAGAGGTGGGTGATTTTTGCAGAAAGAGAGAGAAAGAGAGAGAGAGATCCTTTCCCTAGGGCCAGGAGAAGGGGAATGTGGAAAGGAGAGAAGCGCTGGTACCTTTCCTGACCTCTCTGAGCTTGGTTAGATGTGGAACTCAGCCTTCCAAGCCGCAGGATCCTGTCTTCGTCCAAGTCTGCAACTGGGCGGGGGCAACCAGACAGGCGTTGCTTCACCCCCAGTCCTGCCCTGGCAAGGTGGCTGCAGCGCGGAGAACGGCGCACTGCAAGCCTCTGAGTACAGCGGGCTGGAGCTGCCCTACTCTGCAAGGGGAGGATGTAGAGGAGAACCCCGGAGAAGAATGTCTGGACAGCAGGGAAAACGCTCCGCGTCAAGTGCCACTGAGAATTGAAGTCTCGGTCAAGAGGGCGGGGCGGCCTGGCCCGCGGCTGGTGGGGAGAAGGGTGCAGAGCCAGAGTTGGGAGGGGCCCGGGGCGTAGGCTTTCGGGAAAAATTCCATTGCTGATCCACCACCAAGCAGCACTACCATCTCCCATTCAGTACCTCCATGGAATTCAGGCTGCAGGTTGCAGGGCGGGAGCCAGCGGGAGCAATCGAGGCGCGAGGGGCGAAATCGGCCGGGATTTCCCCGGCTTCCCCAAGTGAGCTTTCCAGCCGGGGAGTCCCAACCCCAGCTAAAAAGAAAAGTGAAACAGAAAGAGCCCAAGCTGGGGCGGAGATAACACCCTGGGAGGCCGCGGGAGGAGCACAGGCTCCCGGGCCACTACCCCAGGTGCCCACAGGATTCTGCCACTGCCAGGTCCCCGGGGCATAGGGCAACTAAGAGCAGAGAGCAGTCTCCACCCCCTGGCCAGTTGACCACAGCCTCTGAGTCCTGGAATGCCTTTGCCTTCTGTGAAGTCTCAAGGAGCTGGCATGAGTTCACAGGTGGCTTGCACCTACAGCAACTGGCCTGGCAAGGAGGCAGGGAGCAGGGAGGCCAGGAGGCTTCTTCTGAAAAGCCCGAAGATCTGGATGTAGCCTGCGCCAGAAAAAACGGAAGAAACGGAAAAGGATGTTGGGTCTGGAATGGGCGGTCCTCCAGAACAACCCTTGGCCTGCTTCAGAGCCTGGAAAAGGGAAGTTTCTGAACTCTTTTTAGAAGATGCCTGCGGAGCGTTTGGGGACTGTAAACTTCCACTAATGCACCCCTCTTGGGTGATTTTTAGCCCTATTTGTAGTTGAGTATTAAACATTGCACATGCCTTTTGACGGGAAACAATGCATGGTTAAGGGTTAAGGTATATGGTTCAGGTATCCTTAAAATGAAAGTACTGATGGGAATTCAACTACATGTCCATCCCAGAGAGCCCTCGAACCCGGATTCCCAGCTTTGAAAACACCTAGGATAAAAGAGCACGCAGGTGAATCACCGAAAAGCCCCAGTGGCTATGAATCTCAAAATGATAACAGTGGGTGAAGGACATTAGGCAATATGATTCCATACCGACATGAAATTCTAGAAAATAAGAGTGAGGGCTTGCCTGGGAGAGAAGGGGTTTGGGATTGTGGAGACAGATTTAATTTATCGGCTTATATTTAAATATGTGTGGCATGCTTCATAAGTTAGTCTTTAATAAAACTGTTTTAAAAACCTGAAAGAGAAAAAAAGTCCCATTGGCTTTTATTTCCCAAAGCTTTTAAGGAAGCGAGAATAAAATGATGAAGCCCCGGCACCTAGGTTAAAACAAAACTGTGTTCTTTTGGTGTTACATAAAAAATAAATGGTAAAACTAAAATATTCACATAATTAAATATTAACTGTGTATGACATTCATATAAAATCATTTTTATGAGAAGCTTGTTTTTACAAACTTACCATGTGTCATTTCAATTTTTATATTTGAAACAATGACTAATAGATGTTTTGGTAGCAATCACTCCAAACTTATAATCAACAAAAGTGAAAGTGTGCATTTTTATAACTATTTAAAATTTACTTTCATTATAAAATATTTAAAGAAATGTAAGAATCTAACTGGTGCTGGAGAGATGGCTCAGAGGTTAAGAGTACTGGCTACTCTTCCAGAGATCCTGAGTTCAATTCCCAGAAACCACATGGTGGCTCACAACCATCTAGAATGAGATTTGTATTCATTGTAAATAAACAAATCTTAAAAAAAAAAAAAAAAAAAAAAGAATGTAACTGGGGAGATGGCTAAGCAGTTCAGAATGCAGCTCAGAGTTCCAGGTCCAAGAGCAGTTCAGTGCTCTTGCAGAGTACCGGAGTTCCATTCCCAGGACAGACACACACATGCGCACATACACACACACACACACACATGCGCATACACACACATAAACACATTTTAAAAAAATAAAAAATGGTAGAATCATTCTTTTTGTACATAACAATTAAATGACTTTTCTTGAATAATACCAATGAGTTTCAATCCAAATCACTAAGTTGGGGCTTTACTCTGCCGAACAATGAGCACGCACTGAGAGAGCAAGACTAAAACTGGATTGGATTCCATTGCAGTGGTGTGATAGCAGCGAACACCCCAGCATACGAGGTAGATCCACACCTCAAGCCTCAACTTAGACCTATACAGAGCTCTGTGTGCTCTTGCTAGGTGATTCCTCTCACACCTCCCCTGATCTCCTTATGTCTTCTGTGAGTTGGGCAGCTGCTACAGAAATCACATGGCCCACAGTTAGATACTCCATGGACTACAGCCAGTACCTCCTCGAAGGACCAGACGCTGCTGCTGCTGCTGCGGTAAGACACTGCACCTCCCAAATTGTCCTCTCCTGTCTATGTGATGTACTGAGGCGGCTGTATAAAGCAGAAGCCCACCAGCCCAAGGATCCAAACCACGCTGGCTCTCCCCAGGACTCATCAGACATCCCTGCCTGACAATACACTTTTAAACCATGTGATAAATGTTCTGGGCTACTGGGGAGTTTTCGTAAGACCTTATGAAACCAGTGAGTACTTTCATCATGAGCTGAACTTTAAAGAGAAATCTGAATACATTAAAAACAAGAAAACCAGTCTATAACTACTGATTCTACGTCAGATATATACAGTAGTTTTCAGAAAAGATGCTGAATGGTATGTGAGGCATTTATGCAGACTTCTGGTAAAAATAACACCAATAAAGTCAAATGGAGCATTGTAGCCATAGTACTCATTGTGTTCTACTGTTGCCTCTCAACCATGTGAGAGACCAAAAGATTAAAAATCAGCTATTGAGGCCTGAACTAGGTGGGTGGAGAAGTCTAGTAATGCCCTGAGGGGAAGGACTGCCTTACTGCTTTCTTTCCCCATCCACTAGAGATAACAGTTACTAGGAAACTGGCCCATTCCCCCTTAGGGAGGGACACCAGGTTATTATGGTCTGGGACCTTCCTATAGCCAATCAATTCAAAATGTAACATTTTGACCAATAGATGCTTGCCAGGCAGGAATTGCCCCTGCCTTGGGCATGCTGGGATGGACCAGAATCTTTAAATCACCCAACTAAACTGAGCACAGGGCGTTAGGCTCCCACCGTTTGGGTGGTGGGGGGTGTGGGCCCAAGCTGCAGCTTGTAATTTACAATAAAAAGAACCTCA